TTTTTTTTTTTTTTTTTTTTTTTTTTTTTTTTTTTTTTTTTTTTTTTTTTTGTCTATTCTAAGAATTTCCATACTATTTTTTATTATGGAATATTTTAATTAGGTAAAAGCACTTTTTAAAATATCAACCAAATACTTTTTTATATTATATTAGATTGAACCTATTTTTCTCTTATTTTAATAAGGTTTTTATGATAGTTAGGAATTACAACGTTAGTTTTAATACTTTCAACAAAGAGAAATTTTAGATGAAATTTGAAAAGGGAAGTTTTGAGTGAAAACACTAATTCTAGGGGTAGTTTTTAACATTTTTAGAATTTCCAAAATGATTATGGATTATTTTACAAAAACTATTAAAATTGTGAAAAGTACATTTTATTCTTCCATAACTTATCTTGGACTCACCCATCTTAGGAAGCATTTTAGTTGGTAATATATATATATATATATATATATATATCTTCCTCTCTCATGAAGTGAAAACATTAATTTCTTATTATAATATGATGTCATTGACATCCATTCTATAGTATTATAGACGGTTTATATTGATAAAAATGTCAAATTCTCAATTTTATGAAAATATTGATAAAAATTTGAGAAATATATATCGATAAAATGCCTGAAGTCATATTTTGTTGCTATTTTAAAAAAAATATTTCATCAATTTTATTCGGTATAATGAAAATCAATGTTGAAGTTGTGGTTAAAAAAATATGAAAGGATAGAATGAGAGGAAATATTTTAACCTTTTTGAACTTGAGTTTCTCAATATATAAGTAGCATTGGTACCATTAGAGAAACTCAAATCAGCTGCATCTCCCATCTCATCACATTCTAGATTTTTTTTTTATAATGGTTTGTTTGAACTCTCACGTGTAGCGTATATAGACTAGTCATATAATTTTCATCGAATTAGTTAAATGGTAATAACAATTTTTATGTAAGAAAAAGAACCATTTGATCATATTTCTAAAAAAAGAAAAAAAAAAAGCAAGCAGTGTAAATTTTAAGCTCTATTTCAAGTGCATGAAATAAAAAAGAATAAAACACAAATTACATGGACCAAAAATGATGCTTTAGTCCATTTTTCTTTGTAAAGTTTAGAAATGCATGAGTATCTCCTATTTTACCATTAAGAGAGGTCTGACTTCTGGTTTAAATTCTCTGCAGGCGCTGGATACCTTTAACACTGCTGTAGTATCTCCTGTTTACTATGTGATGTTCACATCACTCACCATTCTTGCCAGTATGATCATGTTTAAGGTAATAATTTATGGCTCAGTTTCTTTTTTATTTTTTTTCCCACTTAAAACCTTGCCATTTAGACTTTTACATTGATCAGCACTTACACCATATCTATATTTATACTTCAAATTAATTTATTTATTATATATAAATTTAAATTTTATATTTAATACCTTCCTAAATTTGGTAGAACTTTTAAAAATTCTAAAATTTAAGACTACCTATATCATTTTGAAAGTTCAAAAAGTAAATAGATATGAGTAAATTTGTAGTTTATTATTATTATTTTTTTTACAATAAATCTTATGTGTGTTTATCCATTAAGCTACCGAGTCCACACAATCAACCAAATAGAAAATATCTATCGATTGTTGCTTTTATAATTTTAAAAGATAGAATTTGATCTATTGCTTAATAAAGCCTACTTGAGTACACCACACAATTAGCCAAAATATTAAAAGGTCACCTCAGTGGCACACAGATAATTAACCTTGTGAAGTTTTATTTATCAAATCATAAAGAACAAATTCTATTTTTCTAAAACTACAGGACTATTTAAAAAAAAAAAGAAATTAACCCTTTTTTCTTTTTTCTTTTTTCTTTTTTTATATTCCATGTGCTGCTTTTCTTGATCCTTAGTTTAAGTAGAGGGGTAGATGAGGCTTTTTATATATATATATATCTATATACACACATACACACACATATATATAGTACACTCAGTAGTTAATACGATCCAATTGAGCTAATAACTTTCTATGGTGAAGTCTGTTTTGTTTTCTCCCTCTCCTAATCCTTCTTTTTTTTTTTTCTTTTTTTTCCCTTCTCTCTGGTCTGGTTTAATTTTACTTACAGGAATGGGATTCACAAAATGCATCACAAATCGCAACCGAATTATGCGGTTTTGTTACCATTCTTTCTGGAACTTTTCTCCTACATAAAACCAGGGACATGGGGAGTTCTCCCTCCTCCTCCTCCTCCTCCTCCACCTCCTCCGAGGTCCCCATTGTCTCTAGGTCCCCCAAATGACTTATTATTAGTACAACCACAAATTCTAACTACCTAGCACCAGAATAAACAAAACTTAAAAGCAGATGATCACAGGCCACTCTCAGTCCAGGAACCATGGCGAGGGTACAATTTATTGTAAGAAGCAAACAATATGGGCCCATTCGCAAAAAGGCAAAATGAAGTTCAAAATATGGGCCCATTCGCAAAAAGGCAAAATGAAGTTCAAAGGGAGATTGGCTTTGGCTTTGGCTTTGGCTTATCATCTATATATGAGGTACAAATTCAAATTTCATAGTTTTTTTCATTGATAGAAGGATGGAACTTACGAGAGCTAACATTTGAGGATACAATTCAAATTTCTACACAAACTGGCTTACATTAGGTTTGAGGTTTTCTAGATTTCTCTCTCTCTCTCTCTCACCAACATTTCGTTTTGGTTTTGCTGATTCATTAACTGTAATTGTTTTGACAGTTTATTTATTTATTTTTTTATTTTTAATTGCGAGTAATTTGATTGTTGTTGATACGGACAATCATACAAATGAGATGTCCTTCAAGTTGCTAGATTTTCCCAGCATATATTGGTATCAACTTGAATTGTTTGGATACTATCTATCTTCCAAGCTCCTAGGCCAGGCTAGAATAAATGTATAATATCTCAATCAGTTGAATTTTTGTTCGGTTGGTTTTCTAAGATCCCAAATTCTAAGCCTTAGATTCAAAACTTAATAAAATTGGTAAATTATAATGATCTCGTGATTTCTAACATTTAGAAGGAATATATATGATACCATTGTGGACAATATCATACTATTGTGGAGGTTCGTGATTTATGCTCAAAGTGGATAATATCACAGCATTATGGAGGTTCGAGATTCCTAACATTCTCTAGATAATTTTGGGACGGCTATGAGTAAGATGCAAAGAATACAGCTTCCGATATCCTAATTATCAATAATAATAATGATGATAAATCAACAGAGCAACAAAGCCTTTAATCTATACAAACAAAAGGAATATATATTATAGCAATTAGCAGTCCAGCGAAAATTTTCAGCATGAAAAATGATCAGTTACTGGGCACTTGTATTAGTAGATAGATGTTCAGTTTGGTTACCTGAATATAGGATCTCGTTGTGTTCAATTGGCGTGATTGTAAATTTGAAATATCCAATAAGATCATCATAAAGCACTGTCAAATTGGAGTTCTAAGTGCATTTGCTCCTTCATTATCTTTTCAACAGCATCTGCAAAGCTTGATAGGTCGTGGCGAAGACCAACGTCCAAGGAATTTGCCATTTTCTGAAGAATGTGAACACAATCAGAGGATGAAAATGCATGCGTGTATAACAACACCCTAATGACAACCATAAGAACCTAAGTGGTTGGGTAAATATCTCATATATGTTTTAGATCCCCAAGTGTCTTGAGCTTTTTCTTTCATTTTATAGTCTATTGTTTAAATAGTTTCAATTTAGTCCAAAAACATTCAAATTAGTAGATGATAAACTAGTTGGCAGAAATTCAAAAGAAAAAAAAGCTTATTTATGAGAGGAAAGTATCAAATTCCTCTTCAGATTTCTATATAGAAGAAATTTTGAGCTTTCTTCTCTTTTTTTTCCCTAAATTTTCGTCTAATCACTTAATACTAAGCCATATAAGCTTATCATTAACCAATCAAATTAACATTCTCAACGTGGATATTTAAATTAAAGAATAATGAAACATAATGGATTAAATTGAAACATTTTGAATGGTTGAAACTAAATTAAAAGGATACTCAAAGCGCGGGACTAGAGCATATATTAAGCTAAAACTAATTATATTCAGTTAGCTTTTCAGGTATCAAAGAGAGAACGAATAGAAACAAAAGAAACTAAAAGGGAAATAGGGGGCCATCTTACCTCCACCTTGCAAATGAGGCTTAAAGAAACTCCATTTTTATAATGGTCTGAGCTCTTGAGAGATATGAGTTTCAAAGGAGAATCGGACAATGGCCAACCTTGAGGCACCTTAATGACTGCATCAATTCCTCCAATCATAGTACATATTATCGTTTCGTCTTGATCTAAATACTCGAAGGAATGACTGCAATGAGAGTAATTACTTCAGACTCAAAAATTACTGAAAGATATTATTACATTATTTTACTGGGGAATTTCGGTTTGGAGATCGGAGTTCTACGCAAGAAGAAGAAAAAAAAATCCCTATGTTCTGTATTATTTTTCATACAATAAGTCTGAAAAGTTTAAGAGTCTCACCTCGATTTGTTTGCACTCTTCACAACAAATCGCCTAAGAGCACATAAAACAATCCTATCTTGTACTTTTCTCACAAACCATTCCAATGAAGAATTGCTGCTCATTCAAAAACAATGAATGGGTCAGAGAAATTGCTTTCCTATTCCACAAGTGAAAAACTCGGTCAGAATTGTAGCTAAATCATTACAATGACGGATAAATGGAGGCCTTGTCACGCTATGATATTTATTATTAAAAAAAAAGTTGCATATTATCCATCGTGTCATTGCAATTAAACTCAAATTGTAACGACCCTAAGCCCACCACTAGCAAATATTGTCCTCTTTGGGCTTTCCCTTTCGGGCTTCCCCTTAAGGCTTTAAAACGCGTCTGTTAGGGGAAGATTTCCACACCCTAATAAATGGTGTTTTGTTCTCCTCCCCAACCAATGTGGGACATCACACAAATAGCTTCATATACGATTCCAGCAAACCAATATGATTGGTGAAAGTTGTACAACGCACGCTAATAAAACAGGTAGCTCTAATTTGAAATTTTACAACTATGAGAAGAAGGCTTTTTCATCCTCCAAATATCAAATCAATATTTGGCAAGGATATGTCAAGGAATAAGACTATAAGTACGTAACATCGTTGTGTGCTATATTCCAGTACCAGATATATGAAAAAAGGATATAACTTGCATAAAAAGGGAGTTGTTTTTAACAGATGCCCAAAGCAAAGCTTTAAACTAAATTTTATGACAAACATTAAGTGAACCTCTGCGGCATTTTTTTTTTAAATTACATATAAGACTACTTAGTAGGACCAGGATTCTATAAGATTACATATAAGACTACTTAAATTACATCCTAAAAGAAGGACCAGGATTCTAGTTCCTAGCAACCCAAAGAGTCTGGCAAACTTTTTTTTTTTTGTTAATCACCGCCTTAGTAGGCTCCGAGTTACGAAACAGATTTTTTCCCAATTTTTCCTACCAAATAGCCCCAATTGGATTATGACTTAATGTAAGGTGTACTACCTCCAATAGAGGTGAAGTGAAATAAAGAAGACAATCTACTTGTCGGGTGAAAACTGAAACAGACACAATATTCCACGACACAATCAACTATGGCATAGCTGCCTGAGGGCAGAAGTTAGAACCTAAAGGAACTAATCAAACCAACTGAACTGAACAATTATGAGACCGTTTGGTTAGTTAAGGGAAAATTGGACAGGAGATGTGTTCAGAAATTCTAAAACCGAACTAATTTCAATTAGGTTAGAGTTTGAGCAGTTTGGTGTAGCAGTCAATTCTATTCTCATTAATGGTTTCTTTGGTTCAGCTTTCCCTTTTTTTCAGACGAACTGGATTCCACTCCTATAAGGGTAACGATCAAGGTCTAATTAAAAAAACAGCCACCATCCTCCCGATTCTTCTCGACTACAGTGGAGCCAGAGATCCAGTGTTGAGAATTGTTGGTAGGGAGTACCACATCGGCTAATTAAAGGGATGATCATGAGTTTATAAATAAGGAATACATCAACATTGGCATGGTGTCAATTTAGGGAAACCAAAGGTAAAGCCATGAAAGTTTATGTTGAAAGTGGACAATATCATACCATTGTGAAGAGCAGTGGTTTCTAACATCTTATAGGAACATACCTGAAGGACTTTGAAGCGTTGATGATATCGTGCAAATGGACATCACCGGGAAAGATCTGTGCAAATATAACTAATTAATTACGCTCCTTCAACAAAATTTACATAAATAAGAGAGGCAGAGGTGCCAATAGATGGAATTACTCAGATTTTGAAATCAAATAATAACCGTGGATGCAATAAGTCATGGTACTTTAACGAAATAAAGGGATACCTCAGCATTCTTTAACTCCATTGTCCCCTCCAAAACTTCTATCAGCAACTCATGATCCAATTCGGATGGCTCAATCATACCTTCAAGTCTCTGTAAGCTTGAAAACTCTTCCAAGTTTGGAATATGAGAATGTAATGATAATCTAATGAAATTATCAGTGACATCAATGACCTTCAGACCACCAATTGTGTCCTCAACCTGTTCGATAACATCCAAACTAGAGAGAAAGAGAGAAAGATTAAGGGAGGAAAGGAGAGAGAAGCATCAATATTAGATACAAACAATTCATATCTTGAAACACATATTACCTTTTAAATATCTCATCTAGTTCCTGCAGAGATTTTAGAGTTCTTTCGTTCTTCTCAATCTGGCTATCGAGTTCCAATACCTGGAAGGAGTACAAACAGTCTCGTAAATAGTTGATGACTGTAAGCTTTAGGTTCTAATCTTAGTGTATCAATTCCTAATTCTAGTCCACTATCAAATCTCATGGAATTTGTTCTTTACTACAGATAAGCTATTTGGCTAGTCGGTCTGGCCCTAATAGTCTCACATGGGGTTTGTAGACACGAGAGTCACTCCCTCTTGTGTCACCTTCACATTGTGATGCTATTAGAGTTAGGTCGACTATCCTAGCAGTTTATCGGTAGCAGAGAATGGACTCCACGATGTTTGATAACGGACTAAGATTAGGATGTAGCCATCCAAATCACCCTAAGTCTAGAATTAGTCAAACCATATATATTGATAGCTCGTCATTAAGCTACAATGTCAAGCAAAGATTGAAACATAAAATGGAACCATGCAGTATAAGTAAGCATCATTGAATTGCACGCTGCATAGAAACTTGCTTATAATTGATTTTAATTGAATAAAGAACATGTGATGATAAAAAATGAAGAAGCTAGATGTATCTGTGATGATAAAAAAATGAAGAAGCTAGTTGTATCAATGTAACAGAAATAACCTCAAAGGCATTGCATTCACGCTCAACTATCATGTCCATTTGATCTTCACCATTCACAGAGTAGCAATTAACTGTTGCCTTCTCTGGGTCCTACAAGATGGTAACGAGAACGTGAAGATAGACAGACATTCTCACTTGGTAGAAATGTTAATTAGGCCTATAAACAAGCTAAGTTAATCACAAATTAGGCCGAAAAGATTAGAGAAAAAATTAAATTGAAATTAAGAAAAAAGTGAACTTAATCATTGGAAAAAAAAAATTGACACAAACAACATCAAGTATTAGTAGTTGTCTAGAAACACCTTTGCAGAATATCTTGTCCAATATATTAAAGAATCTATTCTCTTCTGTTTTTACATAATGATAAATCAGATCGATTAAATAACTGAAGGATCAAGCGTACATAATATGAGTCAGATGAAAATTTGTCAGACATTACATTTCCTATAGCTTCCTCCATTTGCTCCTCCCTTATTTCTCAATTCACCTCAGATTTATTAAAATCCAAGTGAATACAATCCACATTCACCTTCCGTAATTGGACTTGTTCGATATAATCCGTTTTCAACATTCAAGCAATGCATACTTTTAGGAAATATATGTCAAATCTTGGTCTCTATCCGCTCATCCTAGTCCAGTAACTGTTGGTGTTGTAAAAATTTGTTTGTAATAGAGACCAACCTGTGATGCACAACGATCTAACGACAATTTTAATACTTCAAGATCCATCCTTAATTTATTCGAATCTGTAATTGGAAGCAAAATGAGGACGTCAAGACAAATAGGAGGATAAGAAGTGTAAATTAAAAGATAAACAAACAGTCCTACCTTCTATACTGGTTCTCTTAAGAACCTCAATCTCATTGGAGATTTTGCTGCTTTCAGCTTCCACCGCGATAAGTTCCTCTTTCATACGTTCAACATACGCGTCTAGAAAGATATTTAACAAATTATGAAGAAAAAGCATTGGAGAGATCGATCAAAACGCAGGAAAGTAAACACAAGTCGATAACACTGTAATAGTAACTTAAAAGAAGGAAAATCCATTTAACAGAACAGAGAATGAAAATTTGAAATGCAAGCATACAAATGCATTCCAGTCTACGGAAATTTAAAAGCAAGCTCAACAAAATTACCTAAATCATCAATCCCCAAGAAACTATCTACGTTAGACCATTCTGACAGAGTCTGCTGTAGTCTGCTCTGCACATCTCAAAGAAAAAGAGCCACATATTTAAAAAAACAAAAACGAGAGATATTTTAAGAGATGAAGAAAAGCAAGATCAACTACGATACTAAACCTCGAGAAGGAGAGAACACTCCTTCAGTAACTTCCCAGAACCTAATGAATCCGTCGTATAAGCTTCATCTTCCTCCAAAGATCTCTGCAACTCTTCTAGCTCGCTTATGCAACTTCAATAAGAGTGAAAATGTCGTCCAATTAATTATACATTGTTTCACATAATTACTGCACACAGAAACAAGATAGAGAAACCTGCGAACTGCTTGGACATCAACGCTTGGAGACACAGACGGAGTAGCTTCCATCAATTCTGCCATTATTTTCTCCTTTACCTTCGCCGGAATTTGCACAGAATCCGAACGAGATTCCTCGCGCTTATTCGTCCGCGCAAAAATTCAAATTGAGAGAGAAGGGGAGAGAATTCTTCCTTACCCGCGAGGGTTCTATAGTGTTTTGGACCAAACCCGAAAATGGAGGCCGTGGGCCTTTTATATTGGGTTTGAGTTGCAAGATTTAGCCCGCGTAATTGAGAAGCCGAAGGATTAAGCAAAATTGTAACAACAGCAGAGAACCGCGGGACCGGTCCGTTTCTGTTATTATTTAAATTTATTTTCAATTGAAAAGAAAAAATCTAAATAATAATTCTAAATAAAACTATTTGAAGGAAATATTATAATAAAAATATATTTTATAAACAAAAATCTATTATAATATTCGATTTTAAAATTTCAAATTTTAACCTAATCTTCCACCCAACCAACATAATTTATTTATTTATACATATGGATCTTTTCATTTTAACATATTGATTTTTTTATTAATATTGAGAACTTAGATTTAGATTTAGTTATTTGAATTTAGATTTATATAATAGCCAATTTCATTGTTCTCGAATATAATTCTCAAATGTTGAACAAAGAATTGTTAGTCTCGAAGGTATAGTAAAAAAGTTACTAAAATATCGAACAAATGGTGTACTTTGTTCGAGGGCTCCAAAGAAGGAGTCGAGCCTCGATTAAGGGGAGGCTGTTCGAGGGCTCCGTAGGCCTCAAGGGAGGCACTATGTGGTACTTTGTTCGAGGGGGGGATTGTTGAGGATTGTTGGAAGAGAGTCCCACGTGATAATTTAGGGAATGATCATGAGTTGATAAGGAAGGAATACTATCTTCATTGGTATGAGGCCTTGAGCTCAAAACAAAGCCAGGAAGGCTTATGCTCAAAATGGACAATATCATACCAATGTGAAGAGTTGATCCTTAACAGATATTAGACCTTTGAACGTACCAGTGAGTTAAAATCTAACTCATTGATTGCATATATATATATATAATTTTAAAATTTCATATTTGAATGTAATCTTCCACCTAGCTAATATAATTATTTTATTTATACATATAATCTTTCCATTTTAATATATCGATATTTTTTTTAATTAATATCGACAACGTATTAGCCCTTAAAACATAACGTAAATAGTTGAGCAATTTAAAATCTCTCTGATTAATTATAATTATAAAAACATAAACGTGCAAATTTTAGTTTTAAAAAATAGATGTGCAAAATTTATATAATAATAATAATAATAAATTTTAGAAATGATCCGTGTTTAATAATCTAATCAATAAACTAACTCGAATATAACTTACGGAACATGTGGAGAAAAAAATTTAAAATTATAATTTTGGTCAATAATATAATATATTAATTTATAAAATATTATAATTCAAATTATCAGGATAATGTGACAATAATATTTATAAAGAAAACAGATGCAGTATAGAGTAAGATAAGGAAAAGTCAACCAGCACGAGTCTCAACGTTCAAAGTCAAAAGGTTTAAAGATTTTTAAAAATAAAAACGTTACAAAGTCAAATTCCTGTTGGAAAAGTCAACAATTTTTGTTGTTTTAATTAGATTATCTTCAAGAGGGATTCATTTCAAAGAAAGTAACTTCGACTATTTATCAATAAATTTTATTCTAAATTATGTTATTTTTCACCTTACAAAAGTAATTTAAAGAATCAATGATGGTAATATCTTGGATCAGTCGAAGAGAGAAACGAAACCTCTTTTTAGCGGGCGTATTTTAAAAATTTGAAGGGAAAGTTTAGAATGGAAAGCCTAAAGAGAATAGTATTTATAATACAAAGGGTATCTACTCAACAGTGTCTAGCACTGGTCGGGAGTAAGGCTAGACTATCTCCATAGTAGACGCGTTGCAAGATATTGGTCGGAATAGAACTAGACCCTCTCAATAATAGACACATTTAAAAATCGTGAGGTGCAAGACACTGGTCGGAAGTAGGGTTAGACTCTCTCCATAGTAGACGCGTTGCAAGATACTAGTCGGAATAAAACTAGACTCTCTCCATAATAATAAACATGTTTTAAAATTGTGAGGCCAACAACGATACGTGACAAACAATATCGTCCAATAGTAGGCTTGAACTGTTACAAATGATATCAGAGTCAGACATTGAATAGTGTACTAGTGAAGCATTAAGTGGGATAGATTGTGAAATCTCATATCGGTTGAAAATTTTCTAGTCTTCACCTGTTTTTTAGATTCTTTTCCGCCATGAATGAACAAAGGAACGCTTTCTTTTTCTCGTTCTTCTCAATTCCTCTTCTTCCCGCCACCTTTTACGTTAGAAGAGCAATAGGCCCGAGACATAGCGGGATGAACTTCGATAAAACCTACTAACCTTCTTTAAAGAAAGAAGAGTGAATGTTCATAGGCAGGCCAACTGGAAACGCCTTCAGGCTAAAGATACAAAGACATAAAGAAGCAATGTAAAAGATTCATAAGCCACAAGACACAAGCAGTAAGAGAGAGCAAAAGGCCAATTCATTGCACTTCAAATTAATTCACTAATAAATAAACAATTTTGAATGAATCATCCAACCAAATACAAACAAACAAACAAACACCTCACCAAAGAGATTTTTAAATTTTTGTTTGTAGTTTTGATTCAATACAACAGATGACGAATAAGAAGAAGAAGAAGAAGAAGAAGAAGAACAAAGAAATGAAGAAATCTATACTTGTTGTTAATGCAACTGTGTGCAAGTAGTACAAGCCTAGTTCGTCATCAGAAAAAGAATACAGATGCAATATTCTTTTATTTGTATTCATATTTTTCATGTTCAAAACGGTAGATAAATTCGGATAATATCTCGTTTTCGAAGCTTACGCCGACATATAGGACATCTGTGCTGGGTAGCGATGGCTGTTTCGATGCAACTCTTGCAGAAAACGTGCCCGCATTTGGTTGTTGTTTCTTCAACCAATGCTTCTATGCAGATCGCGCACCGCAAACCCGAGGCTGCTGCAGGTGGGAGGCTGCTGCTAGTTTGTGCAAGTGCAGAAGGGATGTCTGTGTCAATTGTTGCCTGCAATAACAGAGTTTACAGTTAGTTTCAAGCTCGAAGAAAGAAATCGGGATGGAAAATGATGTTTAATCAGATGTTTAAATGATGTAATTGCTAGCAAAATCCAAGTGAACTGCATAAGATTGAGAAACATCAAAGATCTACTTCAGATATAACCTCATTAGGGATTGAACCTTAAATGTTTCGTGGTCTTGAAGTTGGTTACGAGTTCGCCAAAACAATCGGCGTTCGTGCCGATGGCAATTTCACTGATAGATGGAAAGGATGCTGGTACGATATGACTGTCAGATTTATACCGTTGGATGTGTGAGATAAATTATTATTTCACGAACTTCCAACGATTAAAACGGTAGCAGCACATTGGAAAACTAGTTTTTCCAAGGTATTAATGAAGCTAAGAAGTACAAATTTGACTCCAACACATGCAATCTTGGCTAAGAACAATACATGGCCTTTACAGAACCTTGCACAAGATGAAGCAAATTCTACGGAGATCATATTATGAGTCACAGCAGAATGACAGCATCTGAAGAGAAAAAGCTATTCTAGAAAACTATGTAACAGATTGGTTGGGAGGTTTGCACCGGAGAAGGACTTCGATTAGACCAGACCGACCCTGAGAGGAACGTGCATCTAAAGGATAATCCAAATTTACAAGCAATTAATCAAACAGTTTTTTTTAGCTTTATGGATCAAAACTTGAATGAAGATTTTCCTAGAGCTGCTGGCTGCTATATTTCCACCACCTAATTGATATCAAGGAGATGAACGGATAACGGAACATACTCGTTAGCTGAAACTGTATTTAAACTTAAAACGGTGGTTCCGAAAAGTTCTTTTTCATTTTTTTTCCCATTTGGCTAATACTTCTGTTAGCAAAAAAGAGAATAAATCTTCGGTAAACGATCACATTTTTTCTAAAACAACGATTAATTATGAATTTTTTATCAAATGGACTCTGGATTCTTCAAAACACATAATAGACAGAAAAACGGCAGCCAAAGATTTGAACAATGAATAGGCAAGGCAACTCCAAAAATTTGAAAGCAAATAATAATCCGTTCAATCAGTATTACCTTTGTGGCTTTACTACTGCTTTCGCAGCTTAAGCAAAGGTCCAAGTTGTGAATCGTTTGTTCTTGTATAGATACGTTATTGCGGTCTGTAAGGGGCGGCCAAATTGTAAAAGGGGCCAAACTCGTTAAATCTGCAAAATAGTTGAAGACGGGTTAATAAGAAAACATATGCAGATTGGCAACAGAGTAACAAACGATAATAAATTTGTTAATTAATCTCACTGTAGTCCTCATGCTTGGTTCCATACTGAGGAAGCTAAGTAATCCTAATGACAAGACATGAAAAACTTTAACGCAATAGCCTGCATGCTAAGAACTTGGAAATCTAATTTCATAAAATTGAAACTTGTAACAGACCAAGCCCACCGCTAGTAGATATTGTCCGCTTCGGCCCATTACGTATCGCCGTCAACCTCACGGTTTAAAAACGCGTCTACTAGGGAGAGGTTTTCACGCCCTTATAAGAAATGTTTCGTTCCCTCTCCAACCGAGGTGAGATCTCACAATCCACCCCCCTTGAGGGCCCAGTGTCCTCGCTGGCACACCGCTCGGTGTCTAGCTCTGATACCATTTGTAAAACAACCCGAGCCCACCGCTAATAGATATTGTCCACTTTGGCCCATTACGTATTGCCGTCAGTCTCACGGTTTTAAAACACATCTAATAGGAAGAGGTTTCCACACCCTTATAAGGAATGTTTTGTTTCCCTCTCCAAACCGATGTGAGATCTCACAGAACTCCTCTTACCTAACTAAATATAATCATAATATGCACTGAAATTTCATTCTAACAGTCTTTTGAATCCAGAATATAGAAGACTCGCCAGACTGAAAAAGTAAAAAGGATGATCCAAAAATGCAAGTACATCCTCAATGAACATCTCAAGTTTGCCAGAAAGGCAGAAAATATTGGGAAATAGCAATGTAGCTAGACTACCTGAGAGATAATCAACAACTGAAATACAAATTGAGAAGCTTAAGACTTAGAAAAGAAAAGGCTATAAACCTGAGAAGGCACCATTACGTCTAATGGCAACACCACAGCTACTCTCAAAGTGGTTTCGTCGAAAGTTCTTCCTGGCCTAAAAAATTTGTCACCATGTTAATCCTCTTATATGGCCTACTAGTTAGAAACACACTCAAATTATTTTATCAAAATATCACATACCTCAGCAAATTTCCTAGGGGAGATTATAGCAATGTCCTCGTCGACAAACTCGGGATTGTCCATAGCTTGTCCTTGGTAATGATTGTAGTACTGTGTTGCTTCCTGATGAGGACCAGTTGGATCAATGCACTCATCTGGAGGTGGGCAATTTAGGTCGAAGTCCATTACTGTTCCTCGCTCAACAACTCTTGCACTCCATTCCTGTAGATCATTTCTACTTTGAAAGCTCATTCCAACAGCCTTTCTTTTATCTTTCAAACCTACAACAATAGAATCATCCACATAAATGGCGAAGTGATTCGGGTCCAAAAACCTTTGAATCACCACTAATGTAACTCCCAAGAAGTCCACGATGAATTGAATAAATGAGTTAAACATTCAAAAATTAAAAGGATCAAAGAATTTTCTTCCTTTGCGCATCATCGACTGATCTCGGTGAATGATTTCAACGACGAGAATACCATCTGGCTGAATAGTTAGCTGAATAGTAGTAGGATACCCAAGTGAAAATCTATTTATCTTATGAAAAAAAAGGAACACTTGATCCGTTTAATATACAAAGCCAATGATTCTAATTTTATTTCCTATTTTCAAAACTAAACTATTCGTACTTACATTTTCTAGTTCGTGACATATAAAAAAAAAAAAAAGTAACAAAAATAAAAATCTTGGCCAAATTTTAAAAACATAGAGAAATTCTACATTTTATGTTCTTTATTTATTAGAATTCTGCTATTGTTTAAAAGTGTTTACGGATTAGATTAAAAAAAAAAAAAAAAAAAAAAGAGAAGATCGTTGGACGACAATGCATATATATATATATAAAGAGACAAGCGTGATCGTAAAAGCGGGATGCAAATCAAATTCGTTACCACGGTCTATATCGACATTTTACTTTACCAATTGCATCCAAGGCAGAACTATTACAGCTTAAAAAGAACATAAATTATTATTTTCCCCCAATCACGGTCCCAGAAAATATGCTAAAAAATTAAAGCCCCAAATTTAGCTAANGAGAATGAGTAAAATGGATAAGCACCGAACGGCGGTGCGCATCTTGAGCTGGGATCCGTTAAAAGCAACTGTGAAGAAATAAATGAAAATGTCGGGTGGGATCAGAGTGAAGCACGGGCAATGAAGTGAACGCTGCAAATATATAGAGCCATTGAAGAGAGTGCCGAGGAGTAGAATGACGATTATGCCCCTAACATGGGTACGTGAAATTAGTGTGACACTTTAAATATGCTCGTGTCCTTTATCGAATTTTCCCTCGCGTCTTCTCCACGTCATCCATCGGGACATGTGCTATGCAAAAGTGTGCATGTGTTGTGTTAGATTATTGTTATTATTTTTATGGAAAATATTGTACAATTTTCAAAATTGTTTACTCATGAGTTGACTCAAGATGAAAAAAACAAAAAACAAAAAACTTTTTATTCATTTAAATTTCACAATAATTTAATATTTTATCGTATACAAAAAAAAAAAAAAAAAAAAAAAAAAAAAAAAAAAAAAAAAAAAAAAAAAAAAAAAAAAAAAAAAAAAAAAAAAAAAAAAAAAAAACCACAAGTACAAACCGAATAGAATCGCCAAGAACAAACACCAAAAGGAAATCACAGAGAGGAAATCAGAGAAGACAAGCATGATTTGAAGCAATAAAACAGTAGCATGAACAAAATAATAACAGAGATCATACCTGGCGGAAGACGGAACGGCGAACAGCGGCAGAAGAGGGAGGATCGAACGAGGAACCGCAAGAAACTGGCAGCAGCGAAGCGGAGGAAGAAGAATCGGAGAGCAAAAAGAGACGGGAAAGGGAGGAGGAGGAGGAGGAGGAGGAGGAGGAGGCGGCAATCGATATAAAAGCAATCTTGGTTTCCATTCCATATATGTAGAGGTGTTTTGTTTGAAAAACTTTACATCCTTGCGACCACCTTTCCTCGAAATTATTCTATATTTGCAATCTTCGTTGCTCTTTGTCCTCTTCGGCGCTTCCCGTATTCCCACCACTCTCCACCACTCCCCGAGGTGGGCTCTCGTCAGGTCCATTCAAGCTTTCCGGCCCATAATACACCGGACTTTACTAGGGCGGCCCGTGTCACAATCGCACTTTTAATGGTAGCGGACTTGCGATTGTGCCGCACTCACTTTCCTACGACAAGTGAGCTAACCCAATTCGTTCTTGCTTCGCCTACGGCCAAGCGACGTATGCTCGAGCCTCTAGCCTCAGTTTTAAGATAAAGTTTTAGAAAGCGAGGGCAGAGAGAGATTTTCGAAAGAGAAATTTTTGAAAGAGACGTTATATAAGCAAACAAGAGAGAAATAACAACAGTTATGGTATATAACCTTGGGCAGGGAGAAGTTGACAACTAATCGTATACCCCCATAGTACATTTTGAGGCATTTCATATATCTGACAAGCCTAGACATGATATTTATGAAATGTCATACTTCTTAGAAATATAAAACTAAAACACTAGAATATGAAAAGACATGAAAGGTTGAGTTTGTCATGGCATGCGGTCATGGGCAATATGCCTTCGACGAGCATGACCGTGATAGCCCGCATACGGTGTATAATTTTAAGATAAATTAATAAAAATACATCTCAAAAATATATTTTTTAACTTTCTTAGATCATTTCCTTCACATAAATAAATAAATAAAACCCAAAATCTTTAAGTAATTAAAAATTTCTCCTAAATTTTCAAATTTTTCTTAAAAAAAAAAACCTTAAACTAATTTTTTTTTATTAATATCCTTACATTTTTATTAATTTTTTAAATATTATTTAGGGTTAATATATAGATAAAAACACACACACATATATAAATTTTAAATTTTATTTTATTTTATGATCTCTGCGACTTTTTCAACTTTTCGTTTTTTTTTTATTTTAAAATTATTTTTTAAAAATATTTTATAGTTATTAGACTCGAAAAATATGCATCTTTCTTTTTAATATTTTGCCCCTACAAACTTTAAATGGGACGATATTTAAAAAAATAATTTTAAAATAAAAATTATTTAAAAAAATATGAGTAAAATTAAAATAGGCTAAAATATATGTAGGTAGAAAAATCCTTGTTAAGAAAAAAAAATAATAAAAAAAAATAAATAAAAAGAAGTGTGGAATTTGACGTCGGTTTATAGTTATCCATACACACACACACACATATATATATATATATTCTTATCCATATTAATTAATTGGCGCGAATATATCACACGCGCATACGAGCTACGTAAAACACACGCGCAATTAGAAAGGCAGGGCTCAATGATAGCCTTCACCAATATCTTGAAGTATCTTTCAAGCAATTCCTGCTTCTAGCAGAAGAGCTCAGCTTAATTTGGTTCTTCCATTAGAAATGGCTGACGGTTACTGATCGAAGCCGTGGAAGGTCGCGGTGTCTCCTTGTCGTCAACTGCTTGTTTGGTTTTGAGTGTTGAACTTCTCTCTCGATTGCTTTTGCTGAGAATTTCCCCACGGTCATGGTGGCTGTGTTACTCCGTGGTTGTGTGTTCTTCATTACTCATTTGTAGATATTTCTACGGCGATTCTGGTTTCGTTGTGTTGAGCTTCCGGTTGACCTTTGTTTTTCAACGAGGAGGAGGAAAATGGCGGTGCGAAGTGCTTTGATTCTTCGGTTGACGAGTTTGACTCTGACGATTGTTCTATTGGCTGTCTCCGGCGAGTTTTTCAAGCCTTTCAATGTGAGCTACGACCATAGGGCTTTGATCATTGATGGAAAACGCCGCATGCTTATCTCCGCCGGTGTTCATTATCCTCGCGCTACTCCGGAGGTATTTTGGCGATTCTTCAATTCTTACCGCTTCATGTTTCGTCTTTTTAGATACTGAAAAATGCGTGAGAGAATAAATCAAATTGGTATTGACTGAAGGGAAGTGAATTCGATGTGTGTATAATTTAAGTTGGTCAGTGTCACAATCGCAGTGTTCTTGGCAGTGGACTTGCGGTTGCGCAGCACTCACTCCCAACACAAGGTGAGTCAAGCCAATTTGTATTCGCGTCGTCTACGGCCGAGCAATGTATTCTCAAGCCTCTGGTCCCGTTTGAGAAGAAGGTTTTAGAAAATGGGTAGAGAGATTTTTGAAAGTGAGTTTAAAAGTAAGAACGAAAATAACATATAACTTTTTGGGTAGGGAGAATTTGACAACTAATCGCATCCCCTGTAGTACATTTTGAGGTGATTCAAGTTTGACAGGTCGTGATTTCGTCGGTGATACAAAATTAGAGGAGGAGTTGACAACTAGTCACACCCTCCTATAGTACATTTTGAGGCGATTTAGGTCTAGTAGGCTTAGACATGATTTCACCGAGTAGTCGCACAAACAGAAAATACAATAGTAAAACAATACAACATGGAATTAAACAAAAGGTTCGGCGTGGCATGGGCATGTGGCCATAGGCAACACGCTTTGGACGAGTATGACCGTGCACTCAACTATCATGGCCCTTAGCACTTTGAGAGTTATGGCAATGCGGCTTGATCGAATCGGTTCTACCTTTTCAATTGACACTAGCTAACTGGCTAAGAGATTAATTTGGTCTTATGTTTTTACATGATCGAAGATGTGGCCTAATATAATTGAGAAGAGCAAGGAAGGTGGGGCGGATGTCATCCAATCTTATGTGTTTTGGAATGGACATGAACCAACGAAGAGACAGGTGCAGTAAATTTTTTGCAAGTTACAATTCTTCCTGTGAGCAGTAGTTTGCCTGATTACTTAAATACATTTACATTGTTTTACCTTTCAGTATAACTTTGATGGGAGATATGACCTTGTCAAATTTATAAGGCTGGTAGGATCGAGTGGCCTATACCTTCATTTACGCATAGGACCATACGTGTGTGCGGAGTGGAATTTCGGGTACATTCTCCCGTTCCCCATTAGTTTGTTCTTTTACGAGTAGAATTTATGAAAGTGTGCTTTTTCTTCGCGACTTTATTATCGTTATCGTGTATTTATCGCCAATGAAACTGATGTCATTTAAGTCTTGAAATTATTGGCATTCACTTTGTGAGATCCCACATTAGTTGGAGAGGAGAACGAAACATTCTTTATAAGGGTGTGGAAACCTCTCCCTAGTAGACGTGTTTTAAAACCGTGAGGCTGACGGCGATACGTAACGGGCCAAAATGGACAATAGCTACTAGTGGTGGGTTTGAGCTGTTACACAAAGTTTTTGGTATCATCTAGTATATTGGTACTCGGTGCTTAAGATAATAAAGCATCACGTGTCTGAGGTGCATTGAAATGGCTTTGTATCTGGCCAAGGCTATTATTATACCATATTTGTGCCTCGAAGACCAATAGTTTAGATAAAATCGCAATTCGTCGTGGCTAAAGCTGTTTGTCATTGTGATGTCCCACATTGGTTGGGGAGGAGAACAAAATACCCTTTATAAGGGTGTGGAAACCTTCCTCTAGCAGACGTGTTTTAAAGCCTTGAGGGGAAGCCCGTAAGGGAAAGCCCAAAGAGGACAATATCTGCTAGCGGTGGACCTGAGCCATTACAAATTGTATTAGAGATAGACACCGGACTATGTGCTATACGAGGAGGCTCTTCCCCGAAGGGGGTAGACATGAGACGGTGTGCCAGTAAGGATGTTGGGCCCCAATGGAGCTTCCCCGAAGGGGGTAGACACAAGATGGTGTGCCAGTAAGAATGCTAGCCCCCAAAGGGGATGGATTTGGCGAGGGTCCCACATTGGTTGGGGAGGAGAACAAAACCCCCTTTATAAGGGTGTGGAAACCTTCCCCTAGTATACGCGTTTTAAAGCCTTGAGGGGAAGCCCGTAAGGAAAAGCCCAAAGAGGAGTTTTAAAGCCTTGAGGGGAAGCTCGTAAGGAAAAGCCCAAAGAGGACAATATCTGCTAGCAGCGGATTTGGACCGTTACAGTCGATTTCAGCATATTTTTATTGAAGAATGCTGTTATGGATGAGCTTCTAATGACATAGCTCAGTATTGCAATGACATTTACAAAATTTTAACAGTAACTTAGTATGGGATCATTGTAGGGGTTTTCCTTTGTGGTTGCGAGATGTACCTGGAATTGAATTTCGAACAGACAATGCTCCTTTCAAGGTGCATGAGTTCATCTCTTCATAAGATAGTTAAGCATGTTGGTATTTTCAATTAACCTTTGTTGCAGTGACATGTTTAACTGTAGCAACATTTGATCTTGTATAGGATGAGATGGAGCGGTTTGTCAAAAAGATAGTGGATCTTTTGCGCTTTGAAAAGTTATTTAGTTGGCAAGGTGGTCCTGTCATCATGTTGCAGGTTATATTACTATTTAATTTAACGTTTGTAATTTTTGACCTTGCTACTAAAATTTAATGGGTTTGTGTTTATTTATTTACTTTTACTTAGTTGCTTCTTGGACAATTTTCATGAGTTTTACCGTGAGATCCCACATTTGTTGGAGAGGGGAACGAAACATTCTTTATAAAGATGTGGAAACCTCTCCCTTATAGATGTGTTTTAAAGCCGTGAGGCTGATGGTGATATGTTATGGGCCAAAGTGGATAATATTTGCTAGAATATTTGCTAGCGGTGGACTTGTGCTGTTACAAATGGTATCAGAGCCAGCACCGAGAGGAGTGCCAGTGAGGATGCTGGGCCTTCAAGGGGGTGGATTGTGAGATCCCACATCGGTTGGAGAGGGGGACGAAACATTCCTTATAAGGGTGTGGAAACCTTACCCTAATAGATGCATTTTAAAACTGTGAGGTTGATGGTGATATGTAATGGGCCAAAGCGGACAATATCTGCTAGCGGTGGACTTTAGCTGTTACAAATGGTATCAGAGTTAGACATTGGGCAGAGTGCCGTCGAGGACGTCGGGCCACGAAGGGGGTGAATTGTGAGATCCCACATCGGTTGGAGAGGGGAACGAAACATTCCTTA